TCCTTCCACTCCCAGTTACCGCCATCATCCAGCATGCTTAATGAGATGATACGCGGATATTTGCTGTTGTGGCAGTGTCCAACAAAGACAATTGTTTTGTCTATGATCAATCCAGCTTGTTTCTTCGTTCACAAAAGTAATCCACCATCGTGAAAGGCTTTCTCAAAATTCACTGCTTTGATCATTTGCGGTATTCTCGCACCTCCTCGTATCGAGGCGAGTGCGTTCAAGTCGTTCCCCACGAGGCCAACCTCTCTTCACCTGATGAGGTCGTGATTGTACTGGACTGGAATTTCCTTCCTGTTCCCCAAGCATGAGCAGGCGGATCTTTCCTAGAACATCATTTTCCTCTTCCGCTGAGAACATCAGACGACGTAACGTGCTTGGGGAAGAAATGTTTTCAGAGTCCCTGTTTTCCAAATCTGAGAGTGATTGAGTGAGGATGGATTGAGCGAATGGGGGTAATGGTTGATCTTTGCGCTCAAAGAGAGGTGTATGAGCTCCAGGCGTGGGAATTGTCTGTTCGTCATCGGTTTGCCAATCATCAATTGCAGAGTTCATGGTGTTGCGTGATTCGACCTGCACGGCTTTGGTAATGGAATTCATGATGCTTCAGCAAGCGAAAAAACTGGCACAGGCCGTGAAAGCACTTGTAGTGCTTCAATGCAAAAGAAACCTCCCTTTCACGGTGTCTTATATCTCGTATTTCGAATCATTCCAAAGTCATTGGGTGACGACTATGGCCTCATTCTTTGCTTTTTGTGTACACAGTCCACTTTATTCGGAGCGTCCTTGCTGGGACACGTTTTCTGAGACTGTAACTTACAATGAGTGAGATCAACGATTAGGCAATTTGCAGGTTCATGGTAACATGGATTGTAGTATTTGATGACATAGCACGCATGCGTACAATGATTCTTTCTAGGAGACTGATCTCGTAGAACCAGTCTTGTTGACAAAAAGGGAAGTGTTTCCCCAACATTGCCGAGGTTATTCCCAATTTGGATACTAATGCTGGTTGTACCGGGATGGTCGACAAAAGTCAAATACGGCAGATTTGTTAACTCTCGCACTATTCCTCTCTAACTCGCAAGTACCGTCATCTAGGCAGCCCCACAGTGATCGGCCAAGAACGCTAATCCGAAATTATACCGAATTAGACCAGTATTGTGATGCAAGACAAAAGTACTGAGTACCTCAAAACCCATTCACCCCATTCTGAGCCCGTTTCCTCCGTCCTAGACCCATTCCCCCTATACTAAACCTATTCCCCCCATCCTGAACCCGTTTCCACTATCCTGAAATCATTTTACCTTCCCGCACCCATTTCCCCTACCCTAAACGCAATTCCCCTATGCTGAGCTCGTTTTCTCCGTCCTAGACCCATTCCCCCTATCCTATTTCCATTCACCCGTCCTAAACCCGTCTGGTTGCAATGGTTGTGTTGAGCTCCACGGAGATACTGATCAGCATAAATAACGAGCTATTCTCATGGACGCTAGGGTACGAAAACCTGTCATGGGATCAGTTGGTCAGTGTCGAGAACGAGCTGCGGTTCGCCCTGGAATCTGTGAAAAGAGCGCGTTCTAAGCAGGAAGGGTAAGTCAGCATTATTTTCTGAAGTGGCGCTGCTGATAATCTCAACAGGAGTCCAGTCAATAAGGGAAAGAACAAGAGGAAAAAGAAGCCCATACAACAATCCCTTAACAGCACAGCAGACGCAATCAGAAGAAGCGGTTCAATTTTGGCGAACTGGTTGAATTCAGGGAAGCATCCGTGGCTGCAATCGCAATTGCAAAGCACACTCTCAAAGTTTCCCAAAGCAATCGTCGAAGATGGCGTCAAGCTGAAACCAATGTCTGGCCGCGAGTGGAATCACAGTAGAAAAGAGACAATGCTTTGGCTTGTCTACAAGCATGCCAGCCTGGCACATGCACTGCTCGTTCTTTGCGCGTTGCCCACAAAGGACCTTGATCTTTACACGTTAGAGGAAACCACCTCTATTGTTGAATACGTGATCCAGAACCGGGATATGCTTTCCTGTGAAGCCCTTGAAAGAGAGGCTGGAAAGCTCATCCAGAGTGAGAACATTTGCTCCACCGCTACGAGTGTATTGGCGTATCGTGGCTAACCATCACCACTGCCCAGTGTCAGGAAATACTGGGAACCGAGATGATCTCCACGAACACGTCGCTGGTAGATCCTCTAGCTCTCATGGAACCGGTCCTGCCGACAAAAGTTCAGTAGACCGAGTTGACGAAGAAAACGAACATCAAGAGATTGGTCAGGCTCAACACCCCAGCAAGCTCCATTTTTACTGATTCTAATACCGCTGACGACCCTCAGGAACTCAACAAGTCGTACGGAAACGGAAAAGGGGAATTTCTTTCCCAGAATCAGGGGATGGGTCCGACAGTAGCTCTTACGAGGAGGTCATGAAAACATCGCTCGACTCTCCCTTCGGACCGACTCCGATCCCATTCGCTTTACCAGGGCTATCCTCAGATTCTGTTGAGTTACTTTCTCTTATTGTCTCACTTGGTGGCCATGAGATTCCCGAATTGCTTTTCCTGCGATTCCGAGCAGAACAGAAACGGTGGACAAGCCATGGAGAAATCGGCATCTTCAGCCCTTCTGCCGCTGGTTTTGATCCCGTCCTTCAAAGGATTCTTTCACCTTCTCGCTTTACCGCATTGATCAACGAATTGTCTTCCTGTGTCAGACAGGATAAATCTCGGGGTACCGCAAACGATGTGTACTACACCGTCATATCTTGTTTGAAGGGGCAATTTCCAAATCACATAGATAATGACCACAGACGTAAAATCCTCGCTATCAAGCTCATCTGTTTTGTTTTCCCACGCGAAAGATTATGGGAACCACGGTAAGTGCTCGATTCTAATCTTGCTTTTGCGGCCTTAATGGGTTACTTATTGCGTCAAACTAGATTTCTGTCTGATGTTAAGACTCTAATACCCTGCCTTAAGTATACACTGGCTCAGGTCAGGGACCTAGAACTACCCGTGGACATTAAAGAGGAGGCCCTTCAGTGCATACTTGTGAAAGCGGGGCTTGAGGCGGGTTGCTGTCAAGAAGAACTTGCGATGGCTCAACGATTACTTGAAGATGACAATCGACTACCGCAATATCTGGGAGCCGCAATAGCTCACCGACGAAGTGCATTAGCACGCCTGAATGGAGACTATACCGCTTCATGCACTTTCATCGACAATCATTTGTCGAATTCGACATGGACTCACCACGTCGACAGAAGACTCCACGCATGGCACCTTCATTTATTCGCCTCTCGACTGAAAGTCTTCAATCTGATGGAGAAATTTGACGATGCTTACAGAATGATAGTAAGCTGGAGAATGCCAGAGGCCACATCTCTGATGGAACTCCGAGTGCACATTGACCTTTCACTTGTGGTTTCTGACATTCAGAAGTCCTTGGGGCAACTGGAGCTATCAAAATCTTATCTTGAGGACTGCTACCGCCATCCTGGCCTGCTTTGCAATGATCCAAAACAATATCAAATCATCTGCGCACTTGTGGATGTCCGTTGTGCGTTGGGGGAGATCGACGAAGCAGAAAGTCTGGTCAAAGCAGAAACTGAGAAACTGCGCTCGACAGATGGATTATCCAAGGCCCGGAGACGTCTTTTGGTATCATCACTGGATGTGAATATTGCAAGGATTTCGCAACCAAGCCTCGCGGAAGCTCGGTCGAAAATCTCCGACTTGACCAGATTCTTCAATGAATCCCCGAGCTTAGATATCAGCGATCAGCTGCTCCATGTCCGCACACTTACCGCGTCAGCCCGTATTTATCATATGCAGTCATCATTCGAGCAAGCCATTGCTGAATGGGAGAAGGTGAAAACTTTGGCCCAACAATATTCTGCCTTTCGCGAAAAAGGGTTCACTTTTGCTTTCAGCGAGCTTTCCATCGGTTATGCCCAGCTTCAGATTGCCCTTCGGTCAATCGGGCACGCGGACTCCATTTTCAAAGGGGAGAAAGATAATTACTGGATACCAACAATCGCAACAAACTGGCTTCCGGAAGTGAGGTCGGACATAACAGCTTGTATTCAGTCCAGGTAGGGATGTTTTAGGGAGCCGGTGAGATAGAATTGGTATCATAATCGCAAATCCAGAATGTTTTCTTTAATAATTTTTCTAGGAATCTTCAATTCTAGTCAAAATATCATTGGAACAATGCCTCTCTTCCTAAATTGTGGGAGGCGCGCAGAATATTGCTAAGCTGAATCTTTCTGTACCGGAACCTTTCTGCGGTGTAGGTGCGCGGACTCGATGCACGCAAGCGCGAGCCGTAGCCTTCCCAAAGAAACATTACACCCGGGTTCCTATAAAATCACAACTTCACCAGGAACTGCGGGAACAGGGATGGAAGATTCTTCTATCCTATTCCCTTGCTATCCGACTCGTCTGTAGATTGGAGATGAGCGATTTCTAAGCCGTCACATTCCGCATCATCCAAGCCAATATCCTCAATGTGCCACCATCCATATGCGGAGGACTATAATCGCCCTCGCTAGACGTCACGTCTTGGCAAATTGAATAATGCAGCTCTATCGACTCATATTCGAGGTGTTCTGTGCCTGTCAAAGTGACATGCGGGCTGAGAATTTGATTCGACAAAGTGTCGAAGAGGGGCCTCCGCAAAAGCGTCGATTCTTGCGTCGAAGCCCAGCTTAGCTAGCCGCAATCAGGCACGTACACACAAATTAGTTGCAACTATCATCTAGCAAAATCACAGCACCATTCCTCGACCTAAACTACGGAATGGTACCCGTTCAAGTAGCTCGGTCATGAATGACTACGAATATACATACCCCGAATACATTTCGAAGTCATTCAGATCTCAGAATCAACCCGAGTAAGTAATTGCCTAGGCATTCCTGCGTTAGGAAGTAGTGACTCGAAAAAGACACCGTAGAAAATCACGACCACCAGAAGAGGTTCAAGAGGCCATAAATGCCGCTAGCGATTGTGAGCGACCGCGGTCCCTAATCCGTGAACTCCTTCTAGAGAATAGTATGCGAAAGGCTATCGATTTAACGCCGACTATCCACCGCTTTCCACCCACAGACCGACCGTGCAACAGAGCGTGCTAACCAGGAGATCGAACGGATTCTACGTGCATTCACCATATACGCATAGGATGACTGGAAAGAGCTGCTACTAATAGTAGCAGTGGTAATTAATAATCGAGATGCTGCTTCAACGGGAATCTCGCTATTCTTCTTCACTTATGGCTACCATATCGACCCGATTGGTATCGAAGAAGCAAACCAGCTATAGGATGCCTTGACCCTACCGGAAAAAGCAGGCGAAACCTTGGTGAATCGCCTACGAGAAGCCACCGATTGGGCCCAGGCCGCGATTGCTTCCGCACAGGACTACCAAGAAGAGCAGGCAAACCGACGACGACAGGCTGCCCCTGTCTACAAGAAGGATGACTGGGTCTGGCTGAACCTTCGAAACGTACGCACGCAGCGACCGTCAAAGAAGTTAGATTGGCTACATGCTCGGTACCGAGTATTAGACGTTCTATCACCGTTCACCGTCCGACTCGATGTTCCCACCGGCATACATCCAGTGTTTCACATCGAACTAGTCCGCCCGGCAGCGACAGACCCCTTCCCATCCCAGATAATAGACGACACGCAGCCGCTACCACCACTGATCGACGGAGAGGAAGAATACGAAGTCGAACGGATCCTCGCCGTACGACGTAGGAAGATTGGGCGAGAATATCGCGACGAAGCGCTAGTAAAATGGACAGGATGGGTAGAACCGACGTGGCAAAGATTGGACTTAGTCCAGAACTGTGCTGCGCTAGACGCCTTTGAAGAACAGCACGGTCCCGTTTCGGACGTGATTCACCATCAAATCGATGCTGGAAACCACGTCATTGTCCCCCTTGCAGGAACAAGGTTAGGAGGGGGTATTGTCACGGGCCAGTGCCCGATATTGGTCACGTGTGCCACGAGACCTTGGCATGTTGACATTAGGAACACGAGAGAAGAACTTCTCTTCTTTCAGCTTTTTGTACACAGTTTGTGGCCTAGTCAGATTGAATTTAAGTCTTGCTTCAGCCCCTCACAAGTATTTAGATCTAAAAGGGCTCTAGTATTATTATACCCTATCCTCCTTATATTTAAGGAGAAGGCTATTCCCTACTATTTAGTAAGGATAAATATATTAAGACTACGCCTAGTTAGAAGCTTTATACTAATAGTTAGGGTCCTATCTCTATCGTAGGCGTTTTCAGATTCAGTTTAGCACTCGAGGTCATAGAATATATCTGGAACAAACCTACTCTGAGACTCTCTTCGTTCAGATTCTGCCCCAGGACGGTCCAGATCTCACTCGCTGCAAAGCCCCAGAGGCCTGAAAAGCCATCTATCCTGAACCCTAGAGTCAACGAGCTGCAATGCTTTGCTTATGAAAGTACTTACATTGTCTGCTCATCAATTTGGTGATGTTTAAGGATAAAGGAGTCGAACTTCTCAAGCCGACTGCGAGCCTGGAGCAACTTTTCATCGAGCGACTTCTTTTCTTGTTCGAGATACCCACTTTTCGCTTTTTCTTCAGCAAGGAGGCTAGTAAGCTTTGTGTCGGTTTCCTTCAGTTTGTCGATCGATGCATCTCTTTCTTTGAGCCTTCTCTGGAAAGAATCAATTTCAAGGTTGTGTTGTGCAATCATTGAGTTGATCTTTCTTTCATCCTGAGATCTTTCCGATAGCTGCGTTTGTAGCTGGCGCTGAAGTTCTTGAATTCTTCGAGAGATCTCAGCCAAAGATTTATCTTTTTCTGTACTTTCTTTTTGGAGGGAAACAATTCTTTTTTCTGCAGTTTCCTTTTGGATGGTCAGGTCCTGATTCACTGCGGAGAATGTGCTGATCACAACCGATTCCCTATCTTTTTGAGCTTTAATGTCCTTTTGCAAACTGGTCAACTTTTCATCTCGAGTCCGGATTTGCTCCTGTTGCTCTTTGACCTGACTATAAGTTGCCGATGCGTTCTTGAAGTCGGGATCCAAAGTGAGTTGGCAGAGGTGCTCAATGATTTTGTTCTTTAAAGCATCTTCACGTTCGGCCTTGTTAGTGACAGGCCCTCGTTGCGTGGCTGTCTTAATTGTTGGTGGAGACATAATGGATATAACGAATAATGACACAGGGGAGTGGATTGAGATTAGTGGAATTAACTCGATGGGGGCTGCACTTATTTATAATTTCTCCTATACTCGAAGCACATATGGCTGCACACAGACGTTTGGTGATCGTAGACGAACGGTGGATTCACCTTTGTGCGCACAGAAACGAGCCTCAAGTCTGTAGAAGCTTGGGCCTCTCCAGGGTGTGCTGAGTTGTCTTGGATATGCATGACACAGGGTGACGAGCAGCGTGTTCTGGAGCGAAAGGCTACCCGCTCCAACTCAAAGGTATAATACAGAGGTTCAATGCCGCTGCGAGTCATGGAACTTTCCTTGCGCCCAATCCGAATCTCATTGTTCGGGAATGCATCGCAGCAAAAACGCCTCGCCAGGGCGATCGGTATTCATCAAACAAGGCGAGGAAGACCTGAGCCATTCACAGCCAGGATTGTGAGGCATCCCGGCATACTTTATGTCAGTGTGACACGTAAGGGACAATATACGAGCCATTTCTCCATCGCTTATGGCGGGTATACTTAGTAAGTCATTGGGTTCGTGGCTAATAGAGCACTTGTAGAATGAGGCTGAGATGAAGCGCACGAACGCTCCGTGTGTTCCGCCCCCGCCCCAGCACGGTCGCTTTACGTGAAGAAAAAGCAATGGCAGCAGCTGAACCAAATAAATGAACACGGAATTGCTAAGGTAAAACTGAAGCCCTCTCCTGCTTAATGTAAAATTTGGTATGGGTTTTGTCCTGTGCATAGTAAGACGAACAAATGTGGAGGGTTTGCTCGTGACGGATATTACTCTGTATTCGTTGGGCCATACCGAATTACCTAAGTTGGCTCAAGTCAATTTCTCCCGATCGGATTGAGATACAATTACAAAGGAGGAACATAGGAGGTTCTGGTGGGATCAGTCAGCAATACCAGCGAAGAGTACGTCCTGAAGAAATCAAAACCGCAAACATCACGTATAGTATCGCCTGTAAGAGTATGTAGTGTTCTGGGGGCTGGCTAGAGCCTGCCGTAAGATGCTTTGGTAGTTACCCAACGAATCCTCGACTAATAACCGGACTTCTCAAGGGAAATATCTGTGTGGGCTTTCCTGCCTTTGAAATCAATGAAGGTATCTCGATTCCGAGAGGGCTTGACCGCGAAGGGCCCAAGAATATTGGTACTTTACTTTCCCGGCAGTCTTCTTATAATTCGAAAGTCTTTCATTCAGGGTATGCTCTGCATGCATCAAACCTTTTGATTTATCCGGAAGTATCTAAGCAGAGGACCAAGTCAGTGGAGTGAGAAGAGAAGGGGCTGGGCTAGATTATTGCTATGGGTGATACAAATTTTGTTGGGAGGCGAAGACGGATAACCGATTCTGTCATACTATCAGTGTCCTGTATTCTCGCATACTGATATGAATTGGACCACCTTGCATCTCTTGTACTTCCGGTCACAAACGTGAAGGCTGCGCTGGTGTCAAACGACCTATGGATATGGAATGTCAAAAGTTACATCCGTGGAATGTGCCTCTGGCCTTCCCTCTGGGGCACGGGAAACTACATTTCAGTCTTCAACGTGCCACTACCTCACTGAAATACAAACAGCGAGGACGGTTTCGGGAGCTTCCGCGATTTATGGTGAAGCTGCAATCATGCTTGACCGGCAGAATGACGCTAAAGACTGCTCTGAATAGCCGACGTTTCTCAATGGTGGTGTATACGTTTGCGTAAAGCTGGATCCGACCCTTAGGACACTTGTGGTATAAAGTTGAGGTATATTCCGGGCATCTGAAGGCATTTATCAAGCTGCAAAATGTCGCAAAGCGATCCGGATGAGAGGCTGATATTTTTGGCCTGCCAGCATATCTTTCGTGGCCCTAACTTTCAAGTGAGAAAATTCAAGACGGTCAAAGGGTTAATTAGACAAAACGAACTTTCCCTCACCGATATTCTACGAGAATATGATATCGATCGCACTAGCAGCGTTGCCAAAAAGCTTCTAGAGAGCCAGGTTTTCGATTCGACCTTGAAGGCTAAGATTCGATTTCCGGAGTTATTCGATGTGTCGCCTACCCAGAGTGCTGAGAGAGAGGCTTCAGAAGCAGAGGCTGCGAGAGAGGAAGCCAACACTGTAAGGGAGATATCTGACTGTGAGGCTTCGAAAGACACGGCAATCAGTTCTCTCACCGAAGTTGGAAGCGAACGGACATTCAGTGGTGATCAATTGATTCCTGCAAGTTGTCCAGAGCAGGATACAGACACAATTATAGCCATTCCCTCGCTATATCCGGTTTACATCCACTATCGGTGTCAGCATCTAGTCTTGACGACTATACAAGAATTGCTTGAAGAGAGCTGCTTCGAGTTTGCTCAGCAGCATTTTCCCCTCCTCCTAGCAACGAACGAATGGGACTGCCCCGAGGCGGTTGAACTTACCGAATGGACCAAGATACTCTCTCGTCAATATAACCCGCCGTTCAACGATCTGAAAACCCCCGTTAATAAGTTTCTTGGCTTACTTCGAGAACTCCGACATTCCGCTGTGCACCGACTTCGAAAAACCGCAGCTGGTGTTGAACAACTTGTTGAGAACGCACAGCTTTTTTGAATGCCTTGGAAGATTCGACTCGATCAGAAAAAGTTGAGACTCTTCGGAGGGAGCTGCAAACCGCGATTGAAGAGCTTAAGCGCAACAAAGATCTCTTTGAGAAAAGATTAGTTGCGCAACTCAAGGAGATACAAAAGAAGCGGAGTGAATTGGACATTTGGGAAAAGAACACGAGGGAGGGAATGATCAGAGAGGACTTGCAATGTTCAAGGGACATCGGTGAAGTTCTGGAAAGTGTTGTTCGGCGAGTCAAATCAAAGGATCCAAAGGAAGCCGAGGGTGCGAAAAGTGTACCGGATGTGTATTCAGATTCGTTGGATTCGGAAGACGAATTTCTGGATGTAGTTTCATAAAACCGCAGTTTCAAGGGCTGATTTGAAGAATTTTATAATCAGCTTTTTCCTTGTTCTCCCGTAAAATATGGTGCAGTAACGGTTCCACGATAGTCTCCCAGTCTCATTGGCTACTTCGAAGAACTTAAACGCAACGAAGATCACTTTGAAAGAAAATTGGCTTTGCGCAACTCAAGGATATACAATTTTCTTTAATAAGCTAGAGTAGAATTTTTCTGCCAGTCTCGAGCTCCTTAAGCTGTTTTTGTAACTGGTGACGCTTCCTCCGGACAATTGCTTCCTCCCCAGCAATTTGCTCCAGTTGTTCACGTGAAAGGCTGTAGACCCATGAAGGGGAGAACAATTTCATCGGCGCGGCAGGCCCGCTAACCAAATGGTAATCCGCTGCTTGCTTGCAAAGATTGTCAACGAACCTTTTTCTGGCAACTTTGTAGTACGACTTCAAGATATCGTGGATATCTTGCACTGTTTGTTGCAAGTTACTCATGTGGTGGATTCGAGTGAGATCAGAGACTCGAACACAATTTCCACTTGAGCCGTCATCGTATTTTACGCAAAAAGATGACTCCGTTACTTCAGACGTGATGCGTTGCTGACGACTGAAATGAACATTAGCACCTCATAAGTAATAGCAGGTAATCGACTCTTACCATTTCTGCAAATTGCTATTCAAATAATGATTCTGGGTCATCGGTGTTCCGTCCCTTTCAATTCGAAGGAGAAACTCCGTCATCGCAAGGGCTTGTCGATATTTTTCGATGAGATCGTCCATCAGAACTGAGAGGATATTTTGACCTAGTCTCTGATCTCCGCAGGATATGTTCAACGCCTTCGTCGTAAAGGTGTGAACGATGGATATGACATCGCAAATGTAGCCCTCTGCCAGAGGCGGCCATTTCGCAGATTGTTTCTTCAGCACGCTTGAAAGTATGGACGAATTGAATGTTCCCAACTCGAACCCACGAGACTCCGTGTAGAGGTTTTCAATCCAAGGAAGAATTCCTTGCGCCATGGCATCCTGGATTTGGACACAATCGTGTAGAATGTCCTGTATATCGTCACAACCATTCAGCTTCCTGCTCGGGATCGACTTTCGCTCCTTTTCTTCTTTTTCCCCGTCACTATCCACGCCGAAAATGTTCACGCGGACAGAGCTCGTCGGGGAAGTTTTCTTGGCTGTTGATCTGATTTCAGAGTCGTCGTCATGCTCATGCGATTTGAATCCGTATACATGACCATAAGCGGAAAAGTCGTCAGAGAACTGAGCATTGCGATTAGCACACTTGGTTGCCAACCGTAAATCGGGTTCTTCATCGAAGGCGTCTTGTGCTCCGTAGTTTGTATGAAGAGCATCCTCAGTGATACGCTGAAATTTTGACACAATTTCGAGCAAAAATTTGCTTTGTTGCTCAGGGGATCCGCGCTCTTCTCCAAGGCTTTCAAGTGCCCGTTTACATTCTTTAAGACGTTTCGAAACTTCGGATCGAACCTATAACCCATTTAGCATCAGCTTCCGTACGATATATCATGTCGACGAACTCACCGATGGAAATACCCGCCGCACGTTCGAAGCCAAAAGCGCTTGCAGTCGTGTTCCCAGGGCATTGATGCCATAGTTATCACTTGAGAGGCGATTCCAAGGAGGTGAAACGCGAAAGATCTCCTCTTCAACGTCACGGTTCTTTGATGGGTCCTGAAGGTCCTTCTGGCCCAAGTTTCTTACGACCACCCAGCCTAATCCTTGAGACCACTGGTTCTCTTCGACAAGTTCGATAACCTTTTCCTCTGCTCCTTTGTCCACGAGGTCTGGTTTTGTAAGGATCCCCAGGGTTCTCGTTCCGTCGGGGTCCAATTCTCTAGAGATTTCAATAATCTCCTGCGTGGCAATGTCCACATTTGCTGGTACAACGCCGAGGATTATTGATCGTGGGTTTCGCATGTAGTTGAGTACCATATCCCTCACAAGGGTGATGTCTGACTTGGAAGTTAAGCCAGGTGTTGTAGTTTTGAAAATCCCTGGAACATCAATCACACTGAGATGATTTTCATGGGGTCCATGAAGTCCAATCGAAGAACATCTCGAGAAAACGTAGGCAGGTTGTCTCCCATTGACGTTGATAGGCCCATCGCTAGATGGACCTTAGCAAGGTTAGATTCTGCACTCGTTGCGAGATCCAGACATGTAGACTAACCTCCGCCATCATGCTCTTGAATTCCTTCTCATCCAGTGCTTCAATATTGGATATACTCCAACTTGCATTTTCCTTCTGGTCGTCATGAGCCGCAGAGATGATGGAGCCGGTGAGTTTCCGTATTTTTAAGCTCGGATCCCTCCGGAAAATGATCTGTGTCGCGAATCGGGTACACAAGCCGCTGTTTCGAGGAAATTTTAATTTTGTCAGGCCCTCTAGAACGGAGCTTTTGCCGCTGGATTGATCTCCAACAACGACCAGCTGTGGTAGATTGATATATTCTCCCACATTGCAAGCGAATAATTTGTCAATTATTTCAAGCCGAGAAGGGTCAGCCAGCATCATACTGGCTGGCACTTGAGCTTCCTGCTTAACCGTCATGTTTTGCTGTGGAAGATTCACGGACGAAATCTTACGCAGTTATATAGCTAGCTAGGATATCAGAATCCTCGGCACTAATCGCTTGGTATGCTCCAGGGAATGCCCCCTGTTCTTTCCAGGAATTTAAAGAGTAACATTGGGCCACCCTTGCGTGTGAACAGTCGGAGCGGATTGGACGATTTGGATAAGAACACAAGGAAAGGAATGACCCGAAAGATCTTACAATGCTCGAAGGATATTGGCGAGATCTGGATACCTCTGTTTAGCGAGTAAAATCAACGAATCCACAGTGAGCCGAGAGTCGGAAATTTTTGCCGAATAGTTGTTCAATTTTGTTGAATCCGAGTGAGGAACTGGTTAGCAGAGAACTGAAATCTGCATTTTTGGTATTGGAATTGAACGCCCGATGAACAGCCAAGGGCTTGAATCTAATGCACGCCTTGCTTTCATTTGGACTCCATTCACCTTGCCCTTTTTCCTCACCAGCAAGCCACTTTCAGTTAGTAACACTTCGCGAAGTATGTACGAAGAGCGAGCTTACCACGTCACCCTGCCAGTGTTGGAGCATGGGACTTGAGTCACATGGGTTATGCACATGCTCATTGCCATCAAGGTAATTCACTGGATAATCGACCCGCGCTATGAGGCGCTTTGGATCCCTGATAAAAATCGGATCTGCCTTGCAGGAGAAGTCCGAATTTCCAGGAAGTCTGGCTTTGCTCTCGTCTTTGACAGCCTGCTTTTTATGGATGACTTTGTACTCAAGCAGAAGCCGTTTTACCACTCCAGGAGGTAGAGAGTTACCGTCAGAATTCCAACGTTCACGCCTCGGAACTGGAGAGGTTTCACTGCAAAGGGTTGAAGGCGGTCAAGGTATTTCGGAGTAACTATGTGGTATTGCTGAAGAGATCGACGTCAGAAGTCCAGTGAGTGTACCTGAGGAGGAGGGTTTGCTTACAAGCATTTCCTCTTCCCCGCCACTCTGGTCTATTCCCAGATACATGGCTCGGCGTAAATAACCCAGATTTATCATTTAATCACAACTTGGAAGTCGGCATTACGCGCCATGCGTACGATTGGGGGTAGATTCGATACAGAATAATGGTGGCACGGCATGGGTCGCGCCTGATTATTGTCGACTTCGTGTGGCTTTGAGGCCTGGATGGATGTCGAATGAGGCGCTTTCCACCAGTGGCACGACATTGTCTAGCAGAGGGCGGCCCGTCGCTTCATCCTTTGAAGATAATTGAGACGTCGCCAGCAGGTCAATCTCAATGCCTTCTACATCTTCGTATGATTTAAACAAGCCACGGTGTCTTTGGAAATTTTAGCACTGTAAATATCAGAGTAAACTTAGTACAGCGATATGTATAGAACGCTGGAATCTTTGCACCCACGAATAGCCATTGAACCCTCAAAGTCATCCAGATTATCGCCTTAGTTCCCGCTGATGAATTCTATTATCCTGCAGAAAAGATAGTTAGTAATTAATTTCAAAGTCTGCTGAATCAGAAGGCGTACTGATAGTCGTTTTCAGCGGAAAAGCCCTCGTAGCATTCAACCTGTTGGTAAATCGAAGAGATTAAATTAGCTGAAAACGCGCGGTTATAAAGGTACAAAGCTACTTACAAGGTAGTAAGGCATCGTGGCTAATAGAATGTAGAACAGGGTCGTCAGTTGTATCCGGTCGCTCGATGTTTCAAAGCTTGAAAAGATGAGGAAGGGCATCCCTTTATGTAGCTCTAAATAAGGCTTCGCTGCGGCCCGCCCCTAGCTCAGACTTCAGCCACAGCGTCCGCAGGGGAGTCTTGCCGCTCAAGGATAAACCAATAGGAGGCCACTTCGGTAGTGAGTCAGATCACTCTCGATCGCGACCCGCTTCGGCAGGCAACGAGCCCAGCTGGCCAATGGAGCGTCTCCTCACTAGGAGTGGGGTCCCAAACTCGTGAATTCTCCTCAACATATGCACTGCCAGCCTGTCTTGTCTTGAAAAGGACCACCGAGTAGAAGGCCACTGCGGTTGGCAGTGAACTGCGCTGCAGTGACCCACTTCATCCGGTAATGGACACAGCGGACCAATGAGTCACTCCCTACTTTGAGCTGGCACGTGAATCACTCGAAATGGGTAGATATCGATCTCTCTGGTTTAAATACCACTTAAGTATCATGAATTTAGTTTTCGTACTTAACTAGTTTTAATACCAATTGACATTCTGTCATATGCCAGACTTGGAATTCTAACACCACCGTATAATCTAGGGTACCTTACGCACATAACAAATCACATAGTAGTCATTCCGTGCTGTCTTCGCGCTTATTGAAGAGAGGCATGTGGAATTAGATTATCTATACCACATTAGTTTTTTTACTACTGGATGTTTCAGGACTAGTCTGGGACTAGAATGACCGTTATAGGACACATGCAGTACAAAGAGGGCCTTGCTATGACGTATCCTCTCTTGTCTGGCATTTGCTCTCCGGTCGGGCCTTATAGGACTAATTTCCTCTCAAGAGGATTCTCTCAGGAGGATTAACCTCTCAGAGTGAAGCTCTTATTTCGGTGCAGATACTTCGACACAATCTAGCAATCTTGTACCGAACAATTTTGACTTCGCGCTCCTATTACACCAAGCAGCAGAATTGGACAATACAAGTTTGCATCTGGAAACCCCAGCAATCCATGCTGTCACCAATTGTGCAACCATAGGTGACGGCTCTCCAGGGGTTCAAAATTCTGCGGAAGTCAGGTCCACTCCAGTACCTTTGAACACTGCTACTGACCCCAATTCTTTGGACCTGATGATGCAGAATTTATACGCCAAGGCGACTGATGTGGATGGGACTGGAACACAACGTCATCTTAGTACCGACAATCAACAGGCCGTTCCCCGAACAGAGGTCCCTGGTGCCGAAGTCCCAGACATCAGCTCATCCCTCTCTAACAAGGGTCCTCCATCGGGCATGGTCGGCCAAACAGCGTCTAGATCATCCTCCGAAGTTATCCCTAAAATGTCGGACCTCGTTGTATCGACTGCTACGTCACCTTGTGATGTTTCTGTAGGTGCTGTATCGGCGGAGTTAGATGAGATGGAGATAGATGGGGTTGCAGGAGCACGTGCAGACAACAACAAATTTTGGAATGAATCTCTGCCTCCGCGTGAAGAGATCCCCAGTCTCAACCCCACTCATTCCTATCCTACACCCCAGTCCAATCCGCCAGAAACGCCTATCCCAGAAAAACGACGCATCGAATACTCAAAGAACTTCCCAAGCAAGACCGTCCAGCGCGAAGTTCTCTCATCATGCTCTCCAGCGTCACCCACGGATGGTTCTGCTGGCGCAAACATTGGGAGCGCTTCCGAGGCATCGAAATCGGTCTCCACTGGATACAAACATCCTTCCGTCGAAGACGATATGGGAGACGAAGAAATGGAGTCCATTTTGGAAGATGCCTATAAATTCTTGAAGTACCGTTCCGTTTTGCCAAATTCGAACTCAGAAACTGAGCCCAGCACACCACGAGTCAGGGAATCACCCGAAGACTCTCACCCTGGAGACGAATATGTCACAGATACAGCGGTTTCAGAGCTAGCACGTGCATCAGTCTTGTCTCCCTCCTCTCCTGCTAATGAGGCTTCACCTGCACCTCGTCAGACCGATGATCACGTAGGGGTTGCTGGGAATAGCAAGAACCGCAAACGAAAGCGCACCCCAGAAACTGATGACCCAACAGCAAGAAGAGCAAGTCAAAATTCCACCTTATCTAATGGTAGCATACAGGCAGCGGCGCTCCAGTCTTCCTTACTAGTAGCTGATGACGAGGACCTGGCCATTAGTGATGCCTTGTCTTCGCTCGGTTCGAGTTCTGCTGGTAGTCCTCTTCTCGAGCCTGACCACAGTCCGACTCCCGAACCCACCCCCTGGACGTGACCTTTTCAACACTCACTGAAAGAGAGAGATCTCAAGTACGTAGGACAGGTGACCATCTTCTCATGCCTGATTTTCCAGAATTTTTGGAACAACATTCCCGGCACTGGTTCGCTTCTGGCTTCTGGAATGGGGCGACGTGGGAATTCAATCAGACCTCGAGCATGGACTCGTCGCCTGATCGTGCCGGACTCATAAAATACCTGGTGACCCTGCAGAATGAAGATGAGATGCAATACTTGAGGCTGCTTGTTTCAAGGGTTCTTCTCTTTCTGTTGTACGAAAGAGAAATTGAATGCGAACGAAGACGCGGCACTGCGGCGACTACTCTCAAACAAACTGCCACTAACAACTTGTGCAACACAAGTGGGCTGTCGGGGCTGGACAAAAGAAAACTAAATAAGTCCTTCCACAATAATAAACGGCTTGGTGAGTATTGGTGGTGGTGCGCCCGGTTCTTCGGCTCTAGCTTTCTCCTGCGATGTAGTAGGGAAGCAGTGAAGAAAATGTTAGTGCCATTATTTTGGGGAAAAAATTGCTGTGCGCTGACTGAGATGCAGAAATAATACCCACTTTTCTTTGGATGCATTGATCGCGTATGTACTCAACGACCAACCGCATATCGTCAAACCTTACCCTACGCTTGATGCGGCGGTAGTCCACTTGTTGACAACCGGCGAATTCCCTCAAGCATTTACCCGGCAGACTGTACGAAAGTGGGAAGAGTGTGCAGTGACGGCGTCTCAACAGACTGCTCCCCTTCAAGTTTGGCGAGCTTTTAGCACTGAGGCGGTGTCCGGTGTAGCCCAAGGCCACCTTCAAGAATGGGTGGGTATCCCTGGTAATCGCCTGCTCGGCTTTTGAACCTCTTGTGTCCTTTCATGTAAAGGCACTTTCCCTTTGGCGTTGGGTTGGCGTAGACGTGTATAGGAACGGCATGTCTCATTATAATCGAGAGCTGTATTATTAAAATATATCACGGATTTTCTTCATGATCATCGAAAGGAAAATGGTAGACGACCGCTGTCTTCTTCATCTCAGTGCTTGAATGCTCTATCAAACCATCCTTAATACTCTGGAAGACAGTCCTTTAAGTCTTTCAAGAAGATATTTGGTTCCAACGGCGTTTGTCTTATCTGGAGAATACGTCAGGACTTTGGAGAACGGAACCCCATCGGCACACAGAAGAGCGAGTGTGGTAGCTTCACTGGCCACTGCGTAATGGCATAATGTTTTGGAACCGTCGTCTTGTAAGGCAGTCTTGCAAGAACTGCATATCCATCCATCATTGAAGGTGATTTACCTCAGTTCCCTCAGTTGGCTGCCCAAAAAAGGCGGTGAATTCCACCGCCTGCTGTTTTCAGCGATGCTGACGCATGTTCCTTTAGGGCCATAAAGCAACCCAACCGGGTTCGAGTGGCAGAATCGGCACAATTCTGCTTCATCATTGGCTGCGGTCTCATGGCACCGAGGCAACATGCGGCCCATGCAGAAATGCTGAGTCATCGATCATGTGGTCCAGCTATGCGATATAAGGGTTGACACCTCCCCTGGTTTCATCAAGTTCACTCAACTAGCTGTTGCGGTGGCAAGGATGTCTCGCCTGATCTGGCGCCTGCGACAATGCCCCCTGTTTCGGCGTCCTGCTTCACCCGTGCGTCAATTTGCACAATCAAATTTTCAACTTCTCGATTCAAGCACATTGCTTGAGGAAGAAACGCTTCCGTGGTATACACAGAGTCGCTTTTATCCTGTACAAATTGGTGAAGTTCTTCACTCCAGATACCAAGTCATTGGAAAGTTAGGGTTCGGGGGTTACTCGACGGTTTGGCTTGGCAGGGATCTCCAGTACGTTCGCTGGACCTTCACGCGGATCAATGTGCCAAGAATTAATCATGGGATAGGCAACATGTTTACGTCACATTGAAGGTGTTTGAGCGCCAGTCAACCGAAAGCAGAAGAGAAATTGAAGTCTATGATCGCCTCAATAATGCCAGTTCAACCCACGCGGGCGCCATGTTTGTTCGCACGGCGCTGGATAATTTCCAGATTGGCCCAGCAGATGCTTACTATCCATGCCTCGTCCACAAACCTCTAGGCATAAGTCTGTATGACCTTCGAAATCAATTTGCAGCAAAAATACTCCCTGAAAAAATACTCAAATTGACTTTGCACCATATCCTACTTGCCCTGGATTTTCTGCATACGGAAGCTGACATTGTTCACACTGGTATGATTACTCCAATATCTTCCAAAAAAATCAGGCCTGATTCAATTTTTGTCAGATATACAAGAAAAGAATATCATGCTTGGGATTGACGATGTTTCGATATTGTCCGATTTCGAGGAGGAGGAGAAATCCAATCCCAGCCCTCGGAAGATCACCGGGGATCGGGTGATCTATTCTTCTCGGAGCCTCAGAAGAACGAAGCAACATGGCCGGCCTGTCCTGTGTGATTTTGGTCAAGCTCGATTTGGATCCTCTCAATATTCTGGTGACATTCAACCTTATATTTATCGAGCTCCAGAGGTACTCCTCCGAATGTCTTGGGATCGAAAAGTCGACATTTGGAATGTGGGAGTCGTTGTAAGCAGGCATCTTTCTGCCTTTTGCTTGATTAGATTATGTTCACTGAAAGATTACTCCGACTAACAATGAATAATTCACAGACCTGGGATCTTTTTCACAAAGGGCATCTATTCTACGCCAGAGACTCGAGGAAGAAGAACTCAGATTCTCATCACATCGCTGAAATGATTGCACTTCTTGGTCCGCCACCAAAGGAGATGATCCAGAGCAGTGAATATGCTGCAGAATTTTTTGACGGTGAAGGTACGTCTTCAATCAGTTAATATCACCCGAGCTTGACTAAAAGGAATAAAGGCAATTGGAAGGGAGTAGTTCCGATTCCTTCATTAACTTTGGAGCAGCTCGAAGGGAATTTGCATGGGGCGCAACAGAAGCTTTTCCTTGAATTCATGCGCAAGATGCTTCAATGGCGACCAGAAGAGAGAGCCTCAGCAAAGGATTTATTGTCGGACCCCTGGTTAAAATCGCCGTAATGTCTTGCCTGCTGGAAACTTCTTCAGTTGACGGCTTAGGCCATTTGTGTTGCTACGCGTGAGGTAATTGGACCGGTACTAGACAATACAATGTACCTGCGTTCAACGTATGTTGATTTTTAATTGTACTCTCGGATCATTCGGTGATAAAGTCACGACAATAGAGGCTATCTGAGACGCTTTGATATCCTCTGCCTAAGCAATGGCAAGAATCAACCAATGTTGATTTTTTTGGACGAGCCATCTAGGTGGACGTGGGCCCTTCGCATGGTCTTGTCATCCCCATCCTTGAGACGGATCGATACTACATCTTCCTTATCATCTGGATCATCGTGCGAGCGATGCGGTTTGGAGCCCCTACATTGTTCTATTAGTTCAGTTTCAAGGTTGACATATGTTGCAGAGAAAGACCTTATCTCAGCGTTCTTGAAATTCGGGTCCTATTGTATTTATTAGACAAGACCAAATTTCACATTATCGACTGGTCACTCACAGCCTTTTCTTCCGCATCAAGAAACTGAGAAACAGGAGCTTGCCACTCAGGAGGGAGGTCACTTAGTTTGGTTTTCCCAACGATTTTGTAAAGGCGCTGGGCTGTTGACTTGAACATTCTGAAAACAATTCAGCTAACAGTGGGCAGAAACAATGAGAGAAGTAAACGTTAGGTCATTTTCCCATCGAAGGTCGCCCACAGGTATATTTATATCGTAAATGGGTGGTGTACGAGAAGGGAAGTGCTATCATGACAAGGGACCTAGACCTCTGTTTTTCTCCACTTCAAAGGCGGCGCAGAGATTGGATATCATGCAGAGAATCTCCCGTATATACCTGTAAGTGGATTAGAGCCAATCCTTTTCGCGCGCGCTACATGGAATAAGCACCGGCGGGAACAAATCCTTATTTATTGGTCGACAAACACCCTCTATTCCTGTTGCTCGTGTTTCTGCGGCAACATTTCGTGCGATCTTGTGTCATGGTAGGAATAAAAGAACAACCTAAAGCAGATGCCAAACGCGGCCATCCGGGGCTGCGGGTCATGTGGCTATCCTATAGTATTGTCGAAAGGAGCACCACCTGAGACTTGTTCACGTTAATTTCCAGTTGCGGTTTGAGCTGGGATTCCAAGTCATTTTTGTGTGATGGACTCTGCAGCGATGGCACATGTTAAACTTCCGCTGATGGGACACAGATGCACAGCTGACGTGGCCGTAGGCAAGTGGGATGCCAGGTCTTGGCATTAGCCATCCGTTAGTCCTATATTTTGCTTTCAGGGGGTGCAGTCTATACTTGTGATCCGTGTGCGGCAGATCAAGACTTTGAACCAATTAAAGTAAAGCTCTTTGGCCGTCGGCCAAAGAGCTTTACTTTAATTGGTGCCTCTCAGCCAGTATTGGAGCCTGCTCGTTGCCCCGCCCCCGGTGTCCAAACTATATTTGAGGAATCAATCCCGCAGTTTTCCAAAGTTCTTAGCTACTTTGAGACCTATCATGGCACCCCAAGAAGCTGAGGTTCTATCAGCGTTAAAGCTTCTTCGTGATACGCCTAGTGATATACTCAACACTCATCGTGACCTGGCACTTCGGACCTTAACACAGATTGGACGGGCTATCAACGCCCATTGGATTGAAGATGAAGCCCCGAACAGGGTCAATGTGGGAGTCCATGGCGGACCCTATGGACCCACCGAGCCAGAAGCCCAACGTTCACAATCAGATACTTTCTCGCAACTCATAGTCTCAAGCACGCCTTCTCAAGAGAGCAATGCTTCAAGCCTACCGGGCCGTGGGCTCTCCAAGTCATCCTCAAAAACTTCTCTGGAAAGCACTACACGCAAACGAAAGCGACAAGCGACCAAGGATCCACATTCCGCGGCATTAATCGGAGCTGCGAAAAAGAGGCTCCCTCGAATCCTCGAATTCTGCAAGTCCTATGCTTCTCTTTCCGAGATACTGCAGACCGAGCAGGAGATGCAGTTTGCAGATAAAAGGATTGACCACCTGAAACAAATTGACGGCAATAAAACCCCAACCGAGGAACAGAAGCTTCTGAAAGGATTGAGTCAACTATCTCTCGCCCAGCAATTCACCGACTGGGAGATTGCGCGAGGCTGGAAGCCGAGAGCTGATGTACTCTACAACGGGATCGGGGCCCATCCTCCTAAAACTGCTGGAAAAATGACTAGATTTGCCAGAGAACACGGCTACCCTGAATCAGACCATAATGTCATGCGAAAGGGGATTCAGCGAGGAACGAACCAACTTCTTTTTCTTAAGTTGCTGAACGACAACTCCACCTCGCCTGACCAAAAAGATGCCGCTAAAGGAATCCTAGCCCTTGTCACAATTTTCGAGTATGCTCTATTTCAAGCTCTTTCAGCTTCGGAGTTACCAACACTCGCAAAATCCTTGCTGCAGGAATGTGACAGTTCTGAAGTCATTATTGACAGCCAAAGCGGCCAGAGAAATGTTGTTCTTGCATCAGCACGGTATATTTCACAGTGGTTTGAGAACTTGAGTGGAGACTTTGAAATGATCTCACAAACAATGAAACGGAGGAGGAGAGACACCCATTCACTCGCACATGTGACATCTTCTCAAACCGGCGATCGGCCTGTGGCTCCGACTCGTGCACGGCCTGCGGACTCCCAGACTGAGCCAAATAGTGAGCCAGATGGAGCGTCGAACTGCCAACCCAGCGATGTTATTCACCCCAGCATGAACTCTCATGAGCTCACGACGTTCTCCACGTTTCCTCGTGCTGAATCAAACCCCCAGAGGAGTCAGACAAATCCTTCATTCATGCAACTTCAACAAATCCCGGAAGAGGTTGAAATTGTGCCAAACCCAAGATCACACGATCTGGCTCAATTCTCTAGAAATACAACCGACGTCAATTGCAGCTTGGCCAGTGACTCTGAGTCATGTAGCATGTCCCACGAGCTAAGTCTATTCTCCACCAGCCCGTCAAATATCCCAATCCAACAACATCTGTTCGTCCCACGGTCGTGCTCTGCATTTCCCGGTGACATTCGCAATCCAGTTTCGGAAATACGAACAACACAAAATATGGCCTCTCATGAGCTCTCTTCTTTTTCCACTATCCCCGCATGAAGGGCCGTGTCTTCACTCGCTAAAGCAGGACAAAGAGCAAACGCAGTTTCGGTTCAATCTTCACTTCATGGTTTGCCTTCATGTATAGTCGTTTCCCTTCCCGAAGAGGCTTTCCCGAGGCGTTCGGACTGTTATCAAGTATTTGGATAGGGATTATAAATGCATCACCTTTGCTGTAGTGGAATGGCGCGTGTTTCGGACCGGGAATTTGTACCAGAGAATACCCCTGTTTTTTGTCAGGCGTGTGTTCTAAACTTCAAAGGGCGCGATATACCTTGCCAACCAGACCCAGCTTTTCCAAAAATGGACTCAGCTTCCGGCCTAGCTCGTCCGAGTCGTGAATTTCGAAATCATCAGCTTGTTTTTTGAAGGTTGCAGAGGAGGCCCATTGTGCGAATATCTTGCGCTCCGCATCCGCGCTTTCAGATAAGTCATCCTCATATAGATGTGGCTTGTCTGATGTTGTTTGCGACATGTCAAAATTCGAACTCCCGCCAGTCTCAGCGAATGAGCAACTCTTGTCAGGGCAAAGACGCTTTGAACGGTGAGGACAGTGGGAAAAACAGAGGTGGGGTGAGGTATGGTGGGGTAATCAGAGAGATGTCAGGGAATGAGCACGTGATCGGCGACCACCATTGGGCACCCAAATCAAAGTGAAGGGCGGGACGACTTATGTCTTACGTACCATAGTATCAAGGATGCTAAGAACTAGGTTCACTACCACGAACCGGACTGCCAGGCTGCGCTACAATAATACGGATTTATTCAGCCATAATATCAAGTGGATTTTCTGCTAGTCTACAGTACTACACAAATTGGTTTTTAATGAAGAGGGCACTCCTTTCTCGGCTTCGTTGTACTTGGTTGCTACGAGAAGCTTACGGCTTGTACCAATCGGTATAAATGCGCGCATTGATGACAACACATCGGTGGTAATTTTGAACACAACCGGTCAGGCAAGTTGTCCTTTCAAGCCCACAAAATTTATATCAACGTGAGACGTAGTCTGCATAATGAAAGCATAAGTTACCCAAACATAGCTCAGGCCAAACTCCTTATTCCGTACTCAGTTCAAGACCAGCAAAAAATCGAAGGAATCGTTCAACGCAGCGCCCCGGCCCATCATGCTTCTATATCGGTCTTGTAGTATCTCAATCACGGCTTTATTGGGCTGACTCAAGAAGGAGATTAAATCCTTCGATGCTGAAGAAGGCGGTCTCTCAATATGCCAGGGATCAAAATGCCAAGTTGTCAGGGTTAACTTGAGAACAGTGTCATAGCTCCAACGGCCCAACACCTCCTCCACCAAGGCGACAACATTTTCGTTGATAGGTTCAGGCGGTTTCAAGTATTTCAAAGCCTTGCACTTATCCAGCAACAATCTAGCATCCTGGCTAAGGTCCTCTGGGGGTACCCAAGTCCAGAAGTATGGAGAACCAATTCTCGAATAAACCAGGACCTCTAAGGCCAGTTTTGCGGGAGGAACCAAGACAACCTCAGGAATCGGAGAGGGCTTTGGTGGTTAGCACTATAGCTCTCTCGTGGAGTGTGGGGACTAACCATGACTGTGCAGATCCTTTTCAATGAGACTGATGGATTGTAGAAACGAATAATACTGAACTTGCGAATTGTATAGATCTATATATCAATGATCCTGACGCACTTCTGGGTACCTCTATCTTTGATAATACCTTCTCAACGTCAGAGACACACCTCTATTATGGATTGTCTACCCACTTTCTCTCTTCCGGCCTTCCTTGCCAATTGCGTTCAGTCCCTGGGTTTCTATCACGATGATAATGATTCCTTTTGGGGTGGAGACGAGAGCCAAGGCCGTAATGAGGACTTGGATCGAGAGATCCCTGGCACCACAACTTCGCATGCGCGATCTGAGGGCATGGTATATGAACCCGATCCTGTCTACGGTACAAAAAATCCAATCCAAACGAGAGTTGGAGCAGACTCAGCTACTTGTCAAATTAAACCTATCTCAGGTGAGCTACTCTCAGATCTGATTGTTTAGTCTCGTCTCTCACCATGGAGGGCCACAGAGCCAACGGCCTCGCAAGGCAGATCTCGCGGAGAGTCTTCACAGCCAAGCAATAGCATGGATAGTGATATCCTTGAGCTTCCCGCTATAACGCCAGTTAGGATATATTATTTGAAGACCGGCCGCTATTTGTGAAGTTTGTCGAGATGCTATCCGGTGGCAGGCGCAACATTCAGAGGGTAGGTTTGTGCAATCTATCTATTTCCCACCTCCCCACGCCTTTGGTATGTAATAACCACTTGTTAGCCCAAAATAATGGACATTGCCTTGTTGGATAGGGTGAGGCGTTTCGAATGCTTTTGCGGCATACTGTACAATCACAATACAGTTAACACACCTGATATTGTGTTCTCGGTGGTGTACCATGATGGCAGCAGAGATACTGTGCGTGGTGGATCGTGGATTCGTGGGGAGCCTCAGTCTATCAGTGACCTCTTCTCTTTACATGTAAAGATTTGTGCGGCCAAAGAACTCGTGCCTTGGGAAGTTCTGTTATCAAAGCGAATCAGGAAGGAGGGAATGCTTCGCATTGCTGTACCAACATGTCTTTTGGCTTAAATCCCTTCAATCAAATGCAGTTGTAAGAGAAACGCGAATTATCTTAGATGAATGCAAAACTCACGTTTTTGAACAGGCCTATTGACCACTGGGAGACTAGTCAAACTCACTTTGAACAAATATTGTACGAGGTCGCCAAAACATGAACATATTTAACCCACCCGCGTCGTCTAGAACCATTATCAGTCCTAATTATGTCTCCTTGAGTATCTAAGCATCCCAACCATTTACGTCTCGCCGGTCTGGCCGGTCATACTATCGTAAGTTGAGTTGTGTGTGCCTGTAACCTGACCATCCTAATCCTCATTTCCAAGTTTAAGTGAAGCTGCTCCAGATAACTATGTTCTGTCTTCAACGGGGTAGTTTCCACAACACTTCCGAATTAACAAGCAATTAACCATCAACAACATGGACGGCAGGCGTCAGCGTGTGCATACCCGGGCCGTTCCCAGGAACGCCGACAACCAGATTTACTGCGACCATCAAGACTGCCAGCCTATGCAGCCAACGTTTAGGCGTCCTTGTGAATGGAAATGAGTAGCTCTATATCATTATCCTCCTGTATTAAATTCTGACGCTAACTATTCTCTCCCCTAGTAAACATATGGATAAGCACGACCGTCCCTACAGATGTTATGAGCCAGGCTGCAACAGAGGACAAGGCTTCACGTATTCCGGTGGTCTCTTACGCCATCAGCGTGAGGTGCACAAAAAATACACCAACGCGATAACTCCGATTATGTGTCCCTACACGGACTGCAATCGCAGTTCTGGGAACGGATTTACGCGGCGGGAAAACTTGCGAGAACACCTACGCCGTCGGCATCGACACACTGACGATGTTAACCGCGGTACCTCTTGAAAAGACGACCTTGTTTATTCCACTTCACATGCAAAAGTTGGTAGTCAGCTTGAGTCAATCAAGGATAATGGGAGGCCGAATATTGCCACTAGCGAAGCAACAAGCACTGTTAAGGGATGGTCGATTAAAGCACTCCGTTACACGCCTACATGGCAATTGAAATGAGTAACAGCAATATAAATAAAGGGCTGTATAAGTACCGGTGCTCAAACGAAAGGCTCCTTGATTTTCAGTTCGCAACTTTGGAAACGTTACTCAGTGTATCCGAGATGAGCTGTCCTTCGTTTCAACATAATCAACCCTCTCGAGCCGAATCCTACGAAGATTGGCTCAGCGATTTCACTTACGATATCTGCGGAGATTTGGCATACAGCTGGATTGGATTGTTTGAGCCAGAATTGAACTACTCTGGCCCAAGGCCAGCATGGTGGCCAGGAGGTGTAAAATTGATGAATCCTCGGCGCTTGTTGAAAAAGGGTATGACGGTTGTTACTGACTGGATCCTAAAGGCTGACCAGACGAAGACAAGGTTATACTTCTCAGCCATTTGCTGCGTGGAAAGTTGCTTGAACATTGCACGAGAGTCAGCTTAGAGATCGAGGCACGCAACATTAATTGTCTTCGGAATTCACCAGTTTATCAGAAGACACTTGCCAAGATCCTTGACGCTTTCCAGGATCAACAGACGGGCCGAAACGTGCCTCTGGATAAGACCTTTGAGAGTCGCGAGAAAGGTAAAAGTCTCCGGTCCCATTATAAAGCCTTAAAGAACATGCTACAGCCTAGCATCATCTTCATTTTCATCGTGTTCGGAATGGCTCACTCACGCCCGATTTCATCAGCAACAACAATTAGGCAAATTGTGGAAGTGACCCCGAGTTCGCTTGAGGATTTGGCGGACTTGACTTCCGATTTTTGTGTTGAATGGCTGTCATTTTCACCGCAGGGAGAGCCGCTGTAAGTCATTAACATAGCTGACACGAAATAACCTGACGTTGGCCTAGGCATGTTACAGCAATGACCCGTTGTGCACTCCGGGGAGGGTCCCTCATTTCTCTGGAGGGGCCGACACTGCAACAATGCTGGGTGGCCCAAGAGATTCGAACGGACCCAAGAATGGGTAACCTAAAGCTTGTCGTCGCATATAAGTATGTTTTCCAAGGTTTGTATGTATCTCACAACTGATTAAGAATCATGTGAAAGCCCGCCACAACTGGGTCAATCCGTGCCTACTCTCTCTTATATGTAGGTACCTTGTCCTCCCTCCAATTTCGAACTTGACTGAGCCCACAGGGCATTCTCAATCAGGATTGCCGTTTCACAGTCGCATAGCCGCATAGTGACGACGATCGCACGAGGTTGGGAGGATATTCCTGGCATCATCGCAGAAATCGAGGCCCAGTATTTGTCGACTATGTCTTTCGTTTGAGTGACCATGGTAGTACTGTATTGTGGTGGTGGGGAGCTTGGTGCAAAGACAGTTGTCTATGGCTGGGTGTCGGGGGGGACACGAGAACATCGAAACCAAATTTCAAATATAAAAGCATCTGTTTCCCCTTCCGGTATAGTAACGGCCGTATTTGCATTCCATGTTTAGAAACATAGAGATGCTCTTTCAAACCCTAGTCACATGATACGCTAATCCGAATATGGATTTCAAGTAAATTACGTGTTTTGTATGCACCTAGTAATAATACCTAGGATTGTACCTATCTGTATGAATCCAATGTTCTAGAACCAGAAGGCCCTGGACGGCCAGAACTACAGTACGGAGTACCAGAAGTCCTTCCATGGAAATGCAAACAAGCCAAACATCAGAGCCAGCCATTGATTGCCATGAGAATCTGGGTAGAGCTGGACTCTCATTTATGACGTATCACTTTCGAAAGCAACCGCTCGCGATAACGTAAAATGAGCTCAACTTACGAATCCTCGACTGGAACATCGTATTCTTCATTCCGCGAGATCCGGGACTTTTTGTCGACCACCAATCTAGACCTCTGGTCGTACAACTGTCGTGTCGTGTCATCAGAGTTGTAAGATCGAGATCTACAGCCTTATTCGTAAATAGTTGCCACTAGAAACTCTCTCGACTTGTCCGCTAACTCTCGAATCCTGAGCCGAAATGTGAATTATTGTACGTTAAGATGAGATTAGTCAGTAGATACTAATGTGAGGGGTGCATCCGCAAGCGGCATGTCACGTGTGTATTTAGATGGACTCAGCATACTGCTTAGTCAATAATACTGGTGCACCAATAGGATATCAACAAGTCTGAATTCCTATAAAGCCCCCGGCTGGCAGTTTAGGCCTAATTACATGACTAATCCTCGCGGATCTATAGTATCTCCTTTCTCCGGGTATCCACCAGTACTGCTCCTACATGTGGGTTATACTCCATAGTTGGTCCAAATCTTGTTTTAATGGCTGGTTGGGCATCCCTTTCGATAGATGCAGCCATTGATTGGTGATGTCCATCAACTACTCCACACGGCCTGGACTATCCCAAGCATTCCTGCACCTTCAGCCAGGAAAAAAAGTCGTCTGATCTGTTACCAAATTTTCGAGAGGTTGTCTCATTATGATTTCCTGATTAGATCATCTGTTTTGCAATTAATTTAAGCATCCGCGTCTCTCCTCTTCCGCCATCTAAATGAAGTAATGATACTCATATTCCAGCTTCTTAACTAAGCGAGTTATCCCAAACCTGGAACTGTGTTCCCATTCCCTATTACATACTTGGGAAGTTACATTATCAGACATTCTTGACCGGGAGATGGCTCAACAATCGCCTCTTCCACCCGCTTATTGGGAAGCTGCGGAAGAGGTGCTATCTTACGAAACATCTGAGTCGGAATCAGATGAAACGAGCTCGTCTGAATCAGAAAGGGGAGATGAAAGTGAGCACGAAGAGCCACGCCCGGATCAAGAGTTGCAGCTTTCCGGGGAGTTAAGTCCGATAAGCAAGATCCCTTTCGTCTTTGTCGTCAACAATAAGAGGTTTGGGGTAATGGGGTCAGTAAAATACTCTGACCGGAAGCTTAACGCCGAAGGCTCCCAGATGTTTGCATTTGTTCGCGATATCCATATAAAATTGACGCACTTGTTGTTGGACGGGAATGCCCTGCAGAACGCGCTTATTTTGGAACCTGAGTTCCGGGAAAGAGCCGACGATCTCACGGCAGATAGCACAGGAACACTTCGCACCCTGCATCTTCCGGCCGAGGCGATGAATGATTTCAGTAGAGAGCAGCAGAGAAACTTCGCTGGTTGGCTCTACGCCAGCGTTGACCCGTCAGAGACCAGACTGCATCTGACTGGCTCTGGAAAGAGAAAAGCCACGCTAAATGAAGACGCAAAATACGCTCTTTGTATGTTGGTTGATGGCAAGCTCGACCACTTCTCTCGTTATCTGAGTGCTCGACCAGAAATGATCGACGAGTTGTCGAGCTTTCACAAAGGATACGGTATATTTACTCGGTTCATCATCCCCAAAATCGCGCCGCAAATTTCTACAAACTACCTCATGAGCGATCTATACCATGATTCGCGAAATATTCGCCGGATCGCACACTCAGTATATCTGTGGCTGAGGGAGGAATTTGGAGACAAACCAATGGAGAATTATCGACAAGATGAGGTAAAAAAAAAAAAAGAGGCCACAAAAGTACTGATGACGGTATTGGTTTCAACAAGAAAGTTGAGCACGTCTTGGCTCTCTCTGCAATCGGGATAGACGAAGGCTTGACGACATCCCAGAAATTCAAGGTTTTTGGGATGATATATGGTTCTATTCAGGGCGGGGCATTGAGGCATATGGCCGTCATCCAACGCCGACAGGAATGGAGAAATAAGATGGCAAGCAAAATGATCTCTGAACTGATAGCAGCAGGGTTGCAGATCCCAGGGATCTTTTGCGTTCATTGGGGAGGGATCGTTTTATCCTTTGGAGCAGCTTTGATCAAACCGTGGACTGAAGAGGCAGCCAAGAAAGTCATGGACAAGGTGATGCCCGTCACTGGATGGTTCACCTTCATGCATGGTGTAATTCAGGACCAGCTCGACGATCTTGAAAATTGGGTTGATGAGCATATTCCCCCTACTCAGTCCAATGATCGGGCTGACCTGGAAGATTTTATATGCTATGCCAGATTTGGTCTTCGGAAAGGTCTACCGGACATCAAATATGATCCCTGATCGTCAGAGTTGCTGAGTTTTGGATTTACGCTGTACGGGAATTTGAATGTAACGTACAGGACCAGCCACTTTGTGATTGTTTTTCAATATCTTTCGATATTTGAAACAAAGCCACATGAAATACGGATCAACGTGTTTTGAAGTAGGGTTTGTAAAAGCATATGTGTGAATAGATTGGTGAAACCGATTATGATTCACCCTGCGTCACGTTTTGGTAGCGCTGACTGATGAGTATGGACATATCTGGGAGCTATTAATGTGATCGTTTGGTTATGAACTTGATCACCGACACGAAATATGCGTCGGGTAGCATAAAGAAGATCACCACAACCGATTCGTCCATATAGACGAGGTGGTACAGTACGATTGGAAGTTTGATTAGAATAGAGGTGTATATCCCGCAAATCGTCGCTGCCTCCTTTGCCTTTTGGAGGGCAGCCTTTAGGATCAACCTAGTCAACATTTATATGCAAGGCCGCGGCTGATGCTAGATTCTGTTGCTTTGTGAAATTGTCCCGCAGGAACACCAGCGTAATATCGAGACACAAGTCAAGCTTCTGGAGCATCTTGATTACAAGGGGGTTCTAGCATAACTGGCCAAGTTAGGGTTCGAGAAACAATCGAAGAGTGTAGGTGGTGACACCAGTTACGGGACGTGCTGTATAATCACTATATGCTTCGGTAAATTGATAAATATAGTATTGCACTCAGAACGTATAGGCCGCGATCGCCTTAGTGTCTCCTATGGAGACGCGTCGCTTCGTAGCTCCTTAATGGGCGAATGACGAAGGCAAAAAGAAGGCGACGGAATGTCATGCCCTCCGTGCGTCCATATTCATCGAAGTAAAATCCACGCACTGGTTTGTGTGATTGTGACAAAAAGCTGAAGATGAACATAGCGTCCCAGTCAAATACGGCCACATAGGGGCAGTGTCTCGAATACTTTTGGGCTTGCTTGGAGAGCCAAATAGCGTTGCGCTTAAGAAGCGACGAGCTTTCTGTATCCATTGCCCTTACCATCTTCGACTGAAAGTTTGTCTCGTCGACAGCGGCACGCTTGAAGTCATCTTTGTGTATAACATTGGTGCTTTTGATCTCTAGGATAGCAAGCCTAGATAGAAGATGACCCCTAGTATCGTATAAAGACCACTCTACGTTCGTGCCGCTGGTAGATGTTTCTGTGCGACGAAATATTCGAGTGCCAGGTGGGCATATCTGCTGCAGTGCGATGTTGACAGGATGAATGAGCTGCAGAGTAGCAAGCCGTAGAACATCTGCTTCAGTCTCCAGTATATGTGTTTGTTCCATCACTGGCATTCCGGCGGATAACGGACTCGCATGGCCAATTCGTGGAAAATTCCGGTCAAATAAGTTGTGGTATAGGTCGATGGTTTCTTCAAAGTAGACAGCTACTGGGTCTGCCTCGAGGGTAGATGAAGCTGTGCTTCGAATATGACGGTACGTCTCATTGGAGGGAATCATCACAAGGGGTTCGTCGGGCAATTTTTCATCGAAGGCCCTGACGATTTCTGGAGATAATGGGTTCATAATGGCTGAAATCCTACACAGCCACAGAAATGGCGTCAGAAAATGACATAGTTGACATACTTTTGCATAATATGGCATTGTCCAGGCGAAGCCAATTTATATTCCCCTCTCGTCCTGCCTGCCTCGGATGTCGTCTGTGTGCATGGTGCCTATTGTTAGTACACCGGTTGTGGGACAACCGCAGGCTGCAGGGGCCAAGTATGGCGGTTAGTCGTCGCTGTCAATTGGCCAGCGTATTTATAAACAACCCCAATTTTGAGGTGAGATACTATTATTACAACGAGCAACAACGGAACAACTTCACGCTTAAGGAAACGGGGTTGAGTCATGTGTCATGACGGTCGGAAAATTAATGTTCCGAGACGCGGGCGAAGTTGGCTCGCACTCCCTTTCAGAGCACCAGCACCAACTTCGAAATGCAGTTGTCTCATATGTCGCAGAAGCGCTGGATCCGAGTGGTTTGTTACAGTCGCACCGATTACTATTATTATGCCTATCTCTGAACCGCTTACGCCTTTGCTCGGGCCTCTGTCGACGGAACTCCCTAAGCCGCCAGTGCCATATACTGCCAAGTGGAGATTCACCGCAAAATCTCACAATGCTTCTCGTCCAACAACGGTAGTGCGAGGCTGCTGCAACAACAGTGAAAGTGACAGGGCTGAGAGAAGGAAACTACGTCCGATCGACCGATGCTTAAAGCATCCCCCTTTGCCCGGCAAGGGTGGATATGATACTGTCAGCTTAGAGGTTATTGACCTCTTGAAAGCAGGCGATGGCCATAATTCTCAGGTATTTACGGTCCGACTACTAGACTTTGAGTCGACATCACAGTTGCTTCCTCGGAAAGGCACAGTACTTGTTGCAAAAATTTACGACCCGCTTTACTTCGATGATGATGAAGGGCACCTCAACCCATTTCTCTGCGCGGACAAATACTACACTCATGAGGCCAATGCATATATGGCCCTCAACGAACTTCAAGGTCAAGGTATTCCGAGATACTACGGGTCATACTCCTTGAGTCTATCTGTGAATTCAGTACACACGCGGGCAGTTCGAATGATATTGGTCGACCATATCGAAGGTATTACCATGGCAGATGCTAAGCCGAGGAATTTTTCACAATCAGTTCGTCAAAACATTTTGAAATCGATTGTGGACCTTGAGAGCCAGATCTTTGAAAAGGACGTTTGGCTCACCGACCTCGAACCGCGAAATGTCATTATAAGTTCTCCAGATAGCGACAAGCCCGGTGTCGTATTCATTGATTTCGCCCATGCTCTTTTCAACCGCAGGCGAGATGATCCACCTTTGTTACAGTTAAATTATTTTCTGGGAGAATACGTTTCGCCGCTCCTTCGGTGGAAGGAAATCAGAGGCAAAGGAGATTCATTTTCAGGATGGATTGATTGGGATTGGGATCCCTGGCTCGAAGCCGAATTTGCAGATACGGTCTCAAGCATAAAGCCAGGTATGCGGGAACGATGGCCCGAAGAATAGTTAGTTCCGCGAGAAATTTAGGTGGATGCCTGAAGTTTGGGACTATCCATGTCTTACCGCCCTAGGCGTTCTGCCCACCCACTCGTTTCTCTCGTGGGTGTGCCACACCGATCTCGTCAATCACACCGATCTCGTCAATTTCATCCAAACCATCAGATTCAACTTCGTCGCGATATATCTTCAACCAACCATGTCTAATTTATCTCTACCCTACGAGACTCGTATGACTAAGGCTATCGAAGCTTACCAGGCCTCTCAAAAACCGAATCTCTCACAGATTGCGCGAGAATGGGCGATTCCTCGAATGACTCTCCACGGTCGCGTTAGAAACGAGAGACGCGCTAGAACTTCCCAGACACCTAAAAACTATGCTCTTGAAGGGTGGCAGGAAGAAGCCTTAGTTCGGTGGATGATCCAGATGGCAGAATGGAACATGCCAGTGACTCCTGATATTATTCGCGAATGGGCAAATCGAGCACTCTCCCGTGCCGGCTACGAAGGCAGGACTGTCTCGAAGATGTGGGCGTATCGCTTTATGAAGCGTCTTCCTGAAGAAGTCAATTTACGGCTCAAGAAGCAGAAGACTAAGGAGAGCAAGCGTATTCATGCTGAAGATGCGGCAGAACGGAGACTACGGAAGCTATGGAAGGAGCGAAGGGGTGTCGATATCCCTCCAACACCTACCCCTACCCAGCAGTCAGAGGCATCTCTACGCGCTGAGAGAGAGGCTCGAGAGGCTGGAGAATTGTTTTTTATAGATCCCCATCCATTAAGTTGATAGAGCATTCACATCCGACATGGCTAGCTTGCGGCTAGGGTCTACACTATACTTATCTTTCCCCGTAAATTAAACAACCACCAGCGCGATTGATACCTTAAAATATATAGCAGATCATAAGTTGAATATCAATTTTATTACTATACCCTTTAGGAGTATAGTAATATATTACTTATAAAGTTGCGACCGGTAGAATAGTTTTCTATCTATATACTCATGTCACATCGAATTCACCAAATTACCTACTTAAAGCGTCCAAATTATTATATTGAAATATTAAGATATATAGTAAAGATATATATCTATCTATGCTAATAGAAATAATATTATAAATAGGGACTGGTGGATACAATAATAGTTGACGAATTTGAATCTGATGGTTTGGATGAAATTGACGAGATCGGTGTGATTGACGAGATCGGTGTGGCACACCCACGAGAGAAACGAGTGGGTGGGCAGAACGCCTAGGGCGGTAAGACACGGATACTGTTACACGTGGTTTTAGCTGAAGGGGATGCCTTGTATGGAACACGTAACTTGTCCCGTTCTGATATGGGATTTGAATTCTCTTATAGTGTAGCGTAGATGATAAAAAAACACGGGCTTTTTCTTTCTCTGTGAGCGATGGCGGCCACTCATATCTTCTCTATCGTTATCCCTGCATGTCGAAAGTGACCTTCGGCACTGTCCTGTTTTGCACCAACTTCATATACACACCGCCGAAGGAAGGCATGAAACCCTGGCCAGGATTCTCTTCGTATACTGATCGAGCCTTCGTGATATAGGCCTTCAGCTCGGCGAAGAATTCCTCGATGGGGTTAAAATCGGGCGAATACGGCGGGAAATTTGACTCCTGCATCAGCACATAAGGTCTTGATCCTGTCTGAGTGATGGAAAGACGCGTTATCCATAACAAGCACGGATTTCGGCTCCGGCCACCTTCCACAGTGCTGCAGAAGCTGCTCGATTAACGATTCGAAGAACGTGGTATCCGTTGAGCCTTTGAAAATACGGGACAGAATGATGCCATCTTGAGCATATGCAGGCAGTATCTGGAAGCGTTGGCCGCGATGAAATATCGACACTTGGACCGGTGTCACGCCGAGCGGAGACCAGCCAGTTCGCCTATATCCAATCCTTTTATCACATCTGGATTCATCGACAAACACAAGATGATATGACCGCAAATCAGATAGCTTATGCTGGTAGAAGTCCCGTAGTTGGGGGTTCTGTCCTTTGGCTTTCTGTTGTGCTTTTTTTTTGTCCAGCCAGCCTGCGAAAGAGCACGTTTGATGCTAGATGACGACGGTAATATGTTGAACTCATCCCAGAGGAAGATAGCCATCTCTTCGACGTATAGGCCAGGTTTCTCGGCGAGGTGGTCACAGAGGCGTCGAGCATGATAGGGGTGATACTTGGTTGTCGACCGACTGGGACTTGGGGAGATCTGGCACTACCGAATACGCAAGTTCTTGCGTATGTTAGTGAACCATAGTGATAGAACGCTCACTACACTGCGCCACCTTTACCATTTGCGAAGTAGTGAGTCTTTTCTTGCTGTATATCATATGAATAATCATCTTACGTTGCCAGGAATCGATGTTTCTGGCCATTTTGTGAGTGGTTTGGGTGACTAGTTGCGAGGTTGGAAGGAGTGTGAACGAAAGACCCCAGTGCGGGTGGGTGGTTTATTTTTGGACGTGGGTTATTTTTGGATATGTAACAGTACATAACTATACGGTTTTATAATTCTATCTATGTTACCATGTAAACCTGGAACGAAATTTTAAATACGGAAATATCTATATAAGGTTTAGTGTATCATGTGATTAGGGTATGAAAGAGTATCTTTCTGTTTCCAAACATAGAATGCAAATACGGTCGTTACTGTACATACTAGACAAAGTAATCTAGCCAATCTTGTTACAAGTCACATGTTTGTCATGTTGATGCCAGCTACCGCAGGCATCCTACATGTATTTAGATCGCCTCTCGCCCTCTCGCACACTCTTCTTCTTTCCCTCCCCATGCTTAGTTGTTTCGTCAATGCTACCATGTTGATTTCTTGTATCTTCATGCCTGAGCGTAACAAATCTCACTCCATCTTGAGCAGACTATGACGAGTAGCCTGGTATTCCTCTTTCTGTTCTCTAGTCTTGATACCCTCGTTGAATGCACCGAACTGTCCTCTTGGCACGTAACACAGACACCATTTCCAACCAGAAAACACGAGTACGTGTTCTTAACTTCCTCACTCACCTAGAAAGCAGCTGAGTCCCAAAGTCAGTCAAATCCTGGATAGAATCCCTCATCGCTCTGCACGCCGCAGAAATGATGCTGGAAGCATGGACATTCAAGTTTCCAGTACCGCAAAGATACCGCAATATCATCGCTTTCATCGTCAACTATTTAGAAAAGGAAGACTGTCACGCCCGGTTTGAGAAACGGGTTCATTAAGAACCCGGGCATGGAACTTAGGTGAAGTTTCCAACTGCGGGCCCAGCTATTGTGGAATTAAGGAATTTGGAACTGCATAGAGTTAGATACTAGAAAATTCAGCCAATCAGCGTTGTTTTCAGGGCTTATACAGCCAAACCTTATCGTGTAACTCCCGCTTCCTCGGTCGCCCACCGGGAAGCCTTCATGGCTAGTCTCTCTTGTTGACAGAGTATCATGGGTCTAGATTGATGCGATATAATAGAAACTCAGCAGACGGCTACGACAGGGAGCGGTGTGTAATGGTGAGTGGTGGATGTCATTGTCTGATGGTTTGGTTAAATCGCATAGTTAGCATGTAGTATGTACTCATGCTCACATCGAGATCAGATCGCAGCCTGGAAGAAAAGGGAGGATATATATAAGTATCAGATTTCCGTTCAAAAATCTTTCTTAGCCCATACTCAATCATGTCAATGGAAATGACCAATACCGCCCCTTCCTCGGGGTACCGCTCCTCCCCGAGTCGATCAATGCCGGCTCTGTCAAAATCCCTCTCCATCGCTTGAGAGAGCTGTTTCCCGATATCCAGCGCTTCACTGCTATGGCCATCATCCTTGCCTACCATCCGGATAGCCCAACCGAGCTTAGAGTCTTGTTGATCAAACGAAACGGCAAAAATAGCTCATGGGGCAACATCTGGGAGCCGGCGGGAGGTGGTCCGGGCGACGAGGACCGGACCATACTGGATTCGGCGGCCCGGGAAAGCGAAGAGGAGACAAATATCTGGCCGTCGAGATTCGCCGGGATGGCTCTCACATGTGCTTTCTACCACACGGACAGAAAGACTGGCAACCTGGTTGTCATGCGAACGCTCGGATTCATCATCAACCACAACGAAGAGATAATGGCGCAGAGAATCTGGTCCCACGAGATGCAGCAGTCAATTGGTCAAAGTTCCGTCCAGATCAGTGAGGAGCATCTCGATCATTGTTGGTTCACTGAGGAGGAAGTCCGGAGTGCTGCTTTGTCTGAAGAGGCTGTTCCGCAGCAAGGACCATTTACTATGCTTCGGGCCAAAAGGGACATGGTTTTGCTTGCGTTTGAATTATTCAGGCGAAACAAACGCCAGGAGTGGCCCCCGTCGATTAAGACCGTTCTATCGTGAGATAAGCTCCTGAAATCTTCCGAAATAACCCGCCAGTGGTAGTCCATCAGGACGACCTTGGAGATGCCTCATTGAGAACGTTTTGCTGAACACTCTTAATTCCTTTCAACTTCTATGATCGGAGAAATAGAGACACACAATACATAATTCCCAAGTTACGTTAGAAAATCGAAGTTACTGCCTCTATACGTTTTCCACTGGGGACGACCGTCGTTTCCCAAGCCTTGTGCTCCAGTACACTTGTAGAGAGCCTTGAGACCTTCCAGGGAACTTCTCACCGAACCGCTCGGTCACCTCCGACCAAGCAAGGTGTTCTTCCTCTCTGAGCTTCACCAGTAAGTCAGCCTCTTCGTCGGACCATGACAACCCTTTTCTCGAACATGGAGTACGTGGCCTGTCGACCAATTCGGCATCTCTGTTTGCGTGCTGGGATCTATCACTTCCGTGAGGCAGGTGGACGCAATGGGATAAGGCACTCTCGAATAGCCAGGACAAGAACTGCACTCTTTCCTCGACCGGAGGGGCAGAGAATTGAGCACGGAGAGTAGGAAGCGATACGTTCTTGCGGCCGAGTCCCAGACCGGACCGGCTGGCCCTATTTTTTGGGCGATTGTCGATGACAACTGAAACTTTACTGATTTTGGCAGGCCGCCGACCAGCTTTCACGGGCCTGACAGAATCCTGTTGCTTGCTGTGGCAATGGGCGCCCCGAGCCGGGGAGCGAGAATGTTCAACTGGAATTTGGCGTGAAATTGTTGGGGCGATAGGAGTAGTTGCCGTTTGTTGGGTCTGCTCAAAATCTCGGGTATGATTATTGTCCAGGATTGCCGGGTCAATTGTTGGACTTTCCAGAGAGATGGGGCTTTCAAGAAACCCAAGTTGAGCTTGCTGACTAGGAGGGAAAGCGAGCTGCCGGCCATTTGAGTCGAAGCCAAGGAATTGAAGCTCAGAATCCGGGGCGATTTGTTCGAAGGTCATGGTACGATCAACGTCTCCAGAGTTGGGGGGATCGTCAGGGAATAGGGAGTTATCAATGTCAAAGGTCTCGGGACCAGGATTGATTGGCGATGTTGGGGCCAAACCCTCCGATTCGTGTTGAGTGTTCGATTGTAGACCGCCATTTAAACAAACCTCTACCGGTGGGCGAGCAGGTAGGGGATGCCGCTCAGGTCTTGGAGCATAGATCTCCTGGCTCTCTGAAATGGAGTTGCGAAGATTGGAGGGAGACGGTGTCGCAGATATGGAGACCGGGCTTGGGTACCGACAAATACCGAGGCGATCCCGCAAAGGCTGCTCTTTCTCTTGGGAAGGTTTCCAAGGACGGAAGGATTCTAAGCGATAACTGGCGCTTGGCATAATGCGTGCACACAGGCAACTTCAAAGGTCTTCGGGTCTGAGGATGCGGAGAATTTGGAAAAGGGGACACTGGAAGGGGAAACGGAGCCGGGGTCGATATGGAATTGGGGGAGATGGGGGGAAAGGGGAGGGAAGAACGTGGAATGGGTTTGGAGTGCCGAAGTGCGATTGGGGTGGAACTTCCAGTGTCCTTTATACCCACGAGATCAGCCTTGCGAGAGGACGCAACTTTCCTGCCGCGCAAGGTATCCCCTTCCTCTCCTGTAATCCGATGCGAAGTGCCCCAAAACACGTACACATGCTACTCCAGTCTCACTACCAAGCGCATGGCCTGGAGAATACGATGTCACACTCTCTTCGCGGACGGAACTGCTCATCTGCCGTCCGGGCTGCGTTTTAGAACTGGATTCAATTTAGAAGAGGGGTTTTCGCCATTGGCTCACGGCACCGAGCTGAGCTATCGAAGATAACCGGACATATTGCAGCGGGGCTTGTGAGGCCGATCATGGCGACGATAAGCTGCTACCAGACTCGCGAACGAGCAGGGGCAGGTGAATCTGCGACACTGCGATGTAACTTCGGCAGCAACCATGCGGAATAATGGGTCCAGTGGCGAGACCGTTCGAGATACTCCTGCAAGCGCGAGGGACGCGGACGAAGTACAGGAATGTGTGACCACAAAGGCTCAGAAAACAGAAGGCATTCTTAGTCGCTCTGTACCATGATTAACAACACTAATCACTTGAAAAGTAGACACCGGGCGAAGGCTCACGGAGGATAGCCGTAAATAGGATCCTGTCCGCGCTTCTACTCCTGACTGACTGGATGGCATCGCATTTCACGCGGCCGGGAACGGGCTGAGCGTCGGCGGGTCGAGCGGCATGTCCGACGAAATCCGATGTGCGAGGTCATTTCGGGGCGCAAAAAAGGGGCAGCGCGAGTGTCAGTGCGCATGGATCGGCGGGGGCGAAAAGAAAAGGGGGAGCCGAGAGAGTTGGAAGCAGATGAGAAAGTGCGTCGACGAGACGAAGGAGGGCCAGCGGTGTTTTATAGATGGTGACGGCGGAGCGCCGGGTGATAAAAGCGGCCGCTGCGGCGCTAGGCCCGATCAGGGCCCCTCAGCGGGCCGCGATGCCGGATTGGGCAGGGGGAGGCCGCAGCCGGGCAGGCGGTCGGGGCGCGCAGAACGGGGAGCAAATGAGCGCGGTTTTCGGCCCCCCGCTTGCCGTCCTGTAGAATACTAGGTTTGAAAAGCTTAACTCGGTCTCGGAGCCTAGAGGAAGCCGATCGGGCTTAGTGATTATTCCTAATGTACGCTCGCCCTTTAGGTTATATTAACGGACTAGATTTAAAATAGGCTAATTAGTATAGTCGTTTAATTTAGAGGTTATAGCTAAGTAGATAGTCTGAGGTAACTGTGACGCATGAGCAAAGGTCAGCTTGCCAACTGGAGGGTTGGCTGACCAGTTCGTGGGCGGACTTGGAGCATCTAAAGGCAATTTCACATTCACGGATCTACCTAAGCGGTATTATATTTATCAAGTCTTATGATCTACCTTGTTAAACTATATACAAAGAAGGAAATATTTCACATAGCTCTGCGAATACGTTGTCTAGTAAAGATTGAAGTCAATATAGTACGAAAAACCTAAGTCATAAAACTACAGTAGGCTACGCAGGGTCATGATAAAAATAAGTCTATAGGCGACAGCGTGAAAGGGTGATAGCGTCGTTGGTCAAATAGACTCGTCATAATAACGCAGAATGACTCACCGGCCTCCTGCGTCATAAAGGAATGGTATCCACGATAACTCGTCCGTTTTCATACCCTCGTTCGAAAAATGAAGAGGGACGAAATAGATCGTTAAAGGCGTCAGAAATACGTCATTATCCCGTATTAAACCGTTTTAACGGACACTAATTCTCTTGAATAAAACAGTAGGACCTCTGCCGGATGAATTAAGGCCCATGTCTTTATCAGGCGTTCCCTGGATTTTATGGCCACGCTTCATAACGCCAGCTCTAGCACGGGCCCCTCTGGTTCTCGCGGCTTTTAGTTAAACGTACATTCCCTGCTCCCGCCCCGCTTTAGTAGCGTCACCTCTCTATTCTGATGCTTATACAGCTCAGGACTGTGGGACAGCCGGGACCTTCATATACAAGCACACTTTCCAAGTTTGAATTTAATAAGGCACTCAGCTTTCACCGCGGCCAAGTTCTATTCAAGCCCAAGCCCCAATATCTAGTTGACTCACCTTTATGGGTAGTCTTTATTCACCCGTATACCCTGAAAATAATATTCAAGGGTTTCAAATGGCCTCCATTCCGGCCAACTCTATGAAAGCTATATCTACGATATAAACCGGAATCTAATATGATACGTATTATCATCATATACCTTGGCCAGTCCTCGAAGAGAGTAGTTCAGACTTCCCAGCGAACTCGGTCTCGTTCCTCGAGTATCATCAACTTAGCTACCCTTCAGACTCGAGAATCGTCTCAACTAAGACGTCAGCCATATCTTTGCAACCGTCGGCGTCACCAGAATTACTAGTGTATTCCCGCAACTACAAGTCGCAGTTTCAACCAGTCATGATACAATCCGGGCAGCTTGTCCAGTCTCCTTCAATAACTTGAAAGCCGCGCCGAATGCCTTACGCTAAAGAGGATCGTCTTTCTTCAGGTTACGATGACCAACGTGCAGCATATATCACTTCTGGAAGCATGTTCTAGCTTCCTGATTAAGAAGAGAATTACTGGCTGTTTTTTCTCAACAGTACTACGGGGTGCTGACTGATTACTATGAGTTAGAATGTCCACGGGTTGTACTTGCCTTGTTCCATCTACGAATCCTAAGACTAGTCTCTCGATCGTATCGTTGCTTTGCAAAGTCTGACTGCGGGTTGGATCATGTTGAGGGTCTTGCAGGACGTGCCAGAGGTGCGCGCTAAGTAGGTCAATCACTAAGTGTTACCACGGAGTGAATCCCCTACCTGTAGATTGGGCTGTCTTAAGGTGGACTGTGAAGTGTAAATTGCTCAAGATAGTAATTTAAAAACGATGACCAATTGATCGCGAAGAACTAGATACATGGTACTGAATGAGTGTCCTTATATATCCAGTCCTTCTTTAGTAATCCTCTCGTTAAGGGTACAGTCACGTGCTATCTGATCTTGTCCCTGCATTTAGGTATCGTCTCGGTGCGTGTAGAAATGTGGCCGTTTCCTGCATCACGCTAACCGTTCCATGGTGTAGGTCCGTATACCTTGGTGCACGGTTACTCATAGTCTGTAAGATCATCACCTCCCTCCCTGTCCTTTGTCCTCGAAGGACCTTAAGTACTCGTCCTTCCCTCACGTATGTGCGCCTGTTTTTCTGCCTTTTCCTTTTCCTCGCACTTCCCATGGTTTCCTATCGCTGACCATGACTTCTAAAGCTTCCGTTCGCAAGAAAGCTCTGGCTCATCGTATTGAAGACGAGGGGTTTCACTCGGCCATTCCTTGCGATCGTTATGGTATTGATTGGTCTTGACTGTTCTGCAGCGTTCTACAGCCAGGGCAAATCAGCTGACCAATTGTTAGGTGCCTTGGCTGAACACAGACCCCCCACTCTAGCACCTTCTAGATAGGTGGCTATACTCATCACATCCATCCTACACTATACTACGCGGGCGCATCTGTAGGTGCGGATGCGGGATGGGATCGGCTATCTATATTAACCGTTGCAAGACAAGCGACTTATCAGCTGGCTTGGCCAAGACCTTTTGGCTTAAAAGCAATACCAGTTTCCCACTGAATGGCCCTCATTGAAAACTTGGCCGATCGTTCATGTAATAGTAGCTTTGGACATGTAATGCGTCGTAAATAATGTTAGCTCAATATCACGACTGGAACTGCTGTGTTACTGGTTGTGCGGTCTAGAAGCTCAGGTTCTCAAGTGCATTGTGTCGTAGTGTCTCATGCCGATGGCTGTAGCTCCACCGTCGATCAAAATCTCCGTGTCTGCTGACCATATCATGCAGCACATGGCTTAAGAGAGGAAGAACGATTGTCTGATCATGGACCAACAGAAAAGCGACCAAGGTTTGGAGATCGGAAAATCGTTTCTTCTGTTTAAAAGCAAAGAGGTAATGATCGATTTGTTGTCGAACAGGCCAGACTTCTATCATGGAGCTCAGGTACGTAGGCGAATCTAGTTCAACAGTACGAAGATAGATGTTTGAGAAAGAGGATCAAATATTGGATATCATTAAGGCAAAATGCATTCTTCATAAAGTGCGCTATTCGCGCAGTATAACTGAGCTTGGCTATATAAGATTATCGAACTCTGGATTGGAGCATTGGCTGTCGGAAATTTTCTATATAATAGCCTACTACTCGGATTGTTTCTACTTCTGGGCTAGGCCATCTTCTCGACTTGTTAGAACAGCAGACAATGTACGATGTACTGTACAATCTTTAACAGATACCAGCAATTGTACGGGGGATGCTGAACGTGACAAGCCGCTTTTTGAAGACTGTACAAGCAATTCCTCCAATGAAGAAAGACAATCCGATTTGGCTATTGTAGAACTCTGGGGAGCTTTAAGATTATCATCCATACTGGAAAAGGCAAAGAGAATATCACCGAGGGGTTTCTTGACCTATTATGGTATCTATATGCTTCACGAGATCGCAAATCACTGTCTCGATCGCGCAATATAGCAAAAATTGGCCTGGTGCCAATTTTTCCGAAGAGAAACAAAAATCAGCTCGTGGCGTACTCCATGGTAGTAGGCGAACCCATTCATTAATAGTATCCTACTCCGTATAATCATCTGAGGGAACCCACTCGCGGCGCCGTCGAAATCCATGGACTGCATTAGCGGTAGCACCGACAGAGCCGATGCAGCTACAATCTGGGACATGAAGGGTATTGTACAGAGGTATTATTCTTTCCACAGAAGACCTTCTCGTTATGATATAGAGCGAACGAAACGGCGAGACTAGCACTGGCTGTCT